AATAAAAGTTTTTTTGTACCACCCTTATTTGAGCTCAATCATATAGAACGCTTCTCAAAACGTTTACCATTTCTATATTTTTCTAGCGAAGCATGGAATAAATGTGTGGTAATTTCGCAGCTGGGTGTTAAGGTCTGTATCATTCGAGATGTTTGCTTTGGCATTTTCTAACACGTTGTTGAGTTCTAAGAACTTAACAGATGACATGTGGGGAACAGATGTGTCGAGTATATCCGGTAATTTTTTGATGTTTACCTCAATTTTTTTCTAGAGCTCTTCCATTGGTAAGATGTTGTTATAGGCGAGGCGGTCCACTTCTGCGTTATAGCCCATTACTGCCTGCTGGACCTAGTTCTTTACGAACTCTATGTCGAATTCTAAGCCTTCGGCGATGTAAGCTGTTCAGTTAACTTCATCATAGTAAGTGGGGCTGTACTTGGGTTGTTACCAAAACTCCTTTGCCATTTTAAGCAATTAAGAGACCGGTGACGGTCTTTGATAAAGCGCACTCACAAGTGGACATCGTCAGTGGCATTGTGTAGTGAATGTAAACGTATTTTTGCTGGTTTCTCGTCCTAAGATTGTTTGTCTGGCCTTTTCATGAATTCACTAGTTTAGCTAGTGCGCCGTAAACATAGAAGTTACGCCAGTGAAATGCAGTTTTCATAGTCAATTGGCAGAACCTAGTGACCATCATACCATGCAAGACTCCTCATTGTTACCACAGAGCAGAAGGCCAAACTTGGGAAATTTTAGGGCAGTGACATAGGTAACATACGATAGCGATTACGTTAGAATCTGGCAAATGGAATAAACGGTGGGAGGTGGAGAATCAACACTTTTGAGGCTGTGACAGTATCTATGTTGGAAGGGAAAGCTACGGCTTCCACTTTATGGGATGGTCGTACCTCTTTTCCAGTGAGCTTTTTATAGGAATGCAAATGTTAGGATGCAAAAACAACAACAAAGGCTCTACCAGTTGGTATTTAAGTTTGCACATGTTGACATGTCATGGGATTACAAGCACTTCTCAGCCACCTGCGAAGCAAAGCCTCAGCCAGCTGGTGATGACACCTGCTACGACGGAATTATAGAAGTGCTTTGGAAGGTAAGGCTAAATATCGCAAGTAACGAACATAGTTAGCATAGTTAGCACAGAAACGGGAGATATTATAAAGAAACAGTAACAATTCGGGAAATAGAATCAGAATAATACCGAGGCATTTAGAAAAATTACAACCCAGGTTAGTTTCGAACTAGCGATTTCAATTTTCTGGGGCTTTTGTGTTACCCACTGCACCATTGAGGCCGTTGCATTGCCTTTCTCAGCCAGTTTTCTGCCTAACGGTGCTATCAGCAGTCACTCAACGGGAATGCAATCACATTTGAGCCACCGGAAAGAATAATCGCGGATTCAAACCTGGACTGGATTCTGAGGCTTGCAAATATCTTAGCATCATTCTGGTTGCATTTCACATAACACCTTGCAGTGGAAAAATATAACAGGAAGTAAATAAAAAGTAACTCAATTTTTCCTTCCTAGAACATTCCCATTCATGGGTTGACGGCACTGTTAGGCAAAAAGATCGCCAAGGGATAAGCATGGCAAGGACCTCAGTGGTACAGTGGGTGAAACGTTAGCCCTCTGAAAAGGTTATCACGGGTTCCAATTTGGCCTGGGGTGCAAGTTTTGCAAATATATCAACATTCCTTTGTTTTTCTAATAATACGCGCTCGTGAAAAAAACAGTGAACAGTAAATAGAAAGTTGTACATTAATATTCGGAGAATATGTGGAAATTAGTTACTATAGGTACCACTGCGAAGCGAAAACCTGTATATTGCCGGCGTGACGTATCCTGCCGGTGAACCAGTGGTTTCTCATTTGTAACGTTTATATAACAAAGCAGACTCTGATTAGTACTCCTCACGAAAAACACCATGAGCCTCTTACAAGGACTTTACAAGAGCGAATCTGATGCTATCCACAGACTTCATCAATGTTATTCCATCTTCTATCTCGGCACTTTCATGTTCCTCAAAGCTGAAAAGGTGGTCAAATTGATATGCATTCATCTCAGCAAAACACTTTCACAACCCCTGTAGATAAATGTTAATGCAAATTCCGTTCGCGTAGCAAACAGCTTTTTTTAAACACACATCATTATGTACTCGCTGTAAGTCTTCCAGTTTCTACTGACCGTAGCAGCGAAGTCTTACATAGCTGAGAAATGTGTCTGGTTCAGGATGTCAAAAAAGCTAGTCTGATGGAGCGTGCGAGGTTACGCATGACCACTCCTCCTCGCGGTTCAATTTTGGATTTTCGAATTTATTGGAACCGATTTAAAAGTTTGGGGCAGACTTTAGCCAGGCTGCCCTCGGAATTCCAGGGAACCACAGTGACTTAGCCAGCAAATCTCCGAAAAATGGTGATTATGCTGGGACTGCACAACTAGTGATAACGGACCGTTCAAGTATCAAATAAGTAAGATTTAAAAGTTTCACCTCATTATATTCTCGATTACTACGCGATGATAGTGACTTTCATTTCAAGTCCTTCTTTCCCTCACAGAAGGAAGGATCCTATGCCGGTTTCTCGCGAGGGGACGCGGTGCCTCCCGATGTGGCGTATACGGGCTAATGCGGAGGAGAAGCGACCATTTGCTTTCCTGGAACGCAGGTGGATCAAAGGATAGACTCCTTGTTTTTGCTGCGCAGATTTCGCATATGCATTATGGAGAACAGTAGGATGGACACCGAGAGAATGCAAAGGTCCTCTTGGAAGACTGCACAAACTATGGGCCGACGTCTGCTTGGTGAACGTCAACCATCTGCATTCGCAGATGGAAACGATTTCAGGAATTTGGAGTAAGCCTCGTCGACGTCATCATGCTCGAAGCAGACCACTATTATGGACGCCGAATGCGCGAGAGAGAAGCAAATGCATGTTATGCAAGGGCCCTCTCCACCAGTGAAGATTGGTTATCCAATTATCCAAGTAAGAATGTCAAAATCTGTGGTTATGATGGAGAGTACTCTTGTTTCTAGTGAATAGTCGAGATGCATGATTCGTTAACTATGGCTGCCGGCTAGTTTCTCTGCGTTCGTTGAACCGGTCGTGAAAGCGAAACGCCTAGTAAGGAATTCAGGGTTAACCTAACTATGTTTCGGTTTATAAATACGACATGGAAGGTCACTCATTCTGGAAAAAAAACATGAAGTAAATGAAGCCATTTCGATGTAATCCACTTTGATTTTGAGCTTGAGGCTTCCCAAGCCCCACCAAAATATGTCCATCTATATCCATAACCTTATTTTATGGTGTAGCTCATCACTTCACAAGCTTATCTGCTTACCGGTTCAACACAACATCACCATCATGCCACAGCACTACATATAATGATAAAATCCCTCGACAAAAATAATGTCGACATATACGTATAACTGCAGAAATTTTACTAGGTCAGACGCTTCAACAGCAAAACAGAAAGATGAAATCCTGAACGATAATTACAAGATCAACGGCTTCTCGAAAAACCCATCGCCTTTTTCACCTGTCTTCCAACGAGAAAGAACTTCGGTCGGTCGGTTTTTCGAGAAGCCGTTGATCTTGTAATTATCATGTTATACCTTTGTATTTTCTGCCTATTATAATCTCGCGGCAGGGTACTAAGCGAAATACAACCACAATGTTGCTGAGATATTTGCAAAACTCTGGACCGCAGGTGTCTATGGTGGGGAACGAACGCGCTATTGTCCTTTCCGGGGAGTAACGCGTTCACGTTTAGGCAGAAAATAAAAAGGTATAATATTGTGATGTCAACTACAGCCGCAGCTTAATTGGGTTCTATGCTGATTTGGGCGCCCCAGATCAATCCCGCTGACGGGTGATTGCTGCGGCAAAGATCAATAGAAATAGCTGAGAGACAGGCGAAACGAAGGACCCGCATGGTGTCGTGGTGAAAGCGTTACTCCCCGGAAAGGACAATAGCGCGTTCGTTCCCCACCATAGACACCTGCGGTCCAGAATTTTGCAGATATCTCCAACGTTGTGCTTGTAATTATCGTTCAGATTTTCATCTATCTATTTGTGCTGTTTAAGCGCTTGACCTAGTCAGTTGCGTATTAGTGTACCCTTCCAGACTCTGAAGAAGGCGATGCTGCCGAAACGTCAGCTAGTGTTGTATTGTATTGTGTTTTTCTAGGAAGTAAATGTGTGCTGCTTAAAAACCTCGCGATTGTTGAGAAAGAAAACGACGATTCCAATGCCGAGGTTAAAAGAAAGTCAATCTTGGGAACAGTAGAAATTTTCTAACTAGCTTTTCTTTCGTCAACAACCAAAGCACTCGACGTTAAACAATCCCTGAAGGATGTGCATGCATTCGTCTTCGTCAAGTATTGTGGGGTTGATTAAATGCATATTCGGCTTCTATGACTTGCAGTGGTCTATCTATGTATCGAGTCAGTGGCTTTGTAACCTTCGACATGCTCCGGTTACATACACATTGCAGAGTACCTCTTAACCACAGCTACACGCGCTACTTTGTCAGCAACACCGTCATCTTCCCTACTCTTTGTAACTAAAATTTCAAAGATTTAGGCAGATGTAGCTTTTATAAAGGGACTAGCACTTACAGTCTGAGAAGATGTTTCGAGTGTTTCCGAAGAATTCTTTCCTCGATGTCAGCAGCGTTCGACGATTTCAGAGTGATCTCACGAAGGAGATAACGATTGCAGCGCGGCTTCGCTTGCTCAGATGGTTCTTTTTTTCGTGTAAATATCAACTCCAGCATTTTATCACTGTACCCATAACATCAATATCTTTGCTTAAGATGACTAGTCAAGGATTTAGCGCAGTAGAAATTCCAGATTTTTTAAATTAACTCTGAGCATGGATAGGTTAAAAAGACCCTCAGACCGTTTTTTTTTCTGGTCATCGTTCTTCTTCTATCAGAAAAATTGCAGAAACACGTACTTTTGCCCAATAATGTGATTTGGCTGTCATTCGCGGGCTGCTACCAGAAAAAGCGGAATCGGACATCGAAGAAGAACCGTACCATATATTAGGAATTTATGGCCTAATTTGACGAGTCTGTCATATGATAATGATTCGCATGAAGCAAGGAAAACTGTACCCTTTGATTGAGCAACTGATTGAACATATAAACACATACACAAACACATACACATACACATATACACACAAACATACACATACATATACATATACACGTACGAATACACACACACGTTCACGTACACACATGTACACACACGTACACATACGTATACACATACACAGGCGCACATATTCACATACACATTTGCACTTACATATACACATCCACATACCCACACACACCGAAGCATACAGACACACATAATAAAAGGAATGCTACAGTAGTAGCACCTGCTTGGGCCGAAAAATATATTTATCAAAAAAATGTGAGTAGTAGCGGAAGAGTTCACTATCAGTGCTAATATTTACGGCCGTTTCTGACAATCACAATTTCATAGCTCATCAGCAACAAACTTTGAATAAATAGGCCATCTTATCGCAAAATCTGATTCCGAAGAGAATTATAAGTGAAAAGGGAGTAAAAGGTAAAACACGTGTTGAAATCACAGAAGAATAAGTGCATCAAGAAACAAAAAATCCAGGCGCGGTAACAACTATATCAGAGTTCACATCACGGAAATATAGATTTCTTAAACTATACTTCTGCAAAAGCTATATACTTCCACAATAAACCGTAATGACATGATTTCTGCACAATCACTATTTCTGCATGGCGGCATGCAGAGCGACACCGTATGCTGCCGAAGTGTCGGCAAGGGCAGGTTCGAGGGTGATGTGCCTGGCACAAAGTTCGTCGAGGCACTTCTGGATGTGCACCGCAAATCGCTGGCGCTTGGCATTTCCCACCAGGTACAACCGCTCCACTCCCAATGAGCTGAACAACTCGGGTGGCACGAGTCCGAAAAGATTCCGAACCACTCCCTCACAAACACCCACGAGCATCTGAAACCCAACAAACAACATCATACCGTCGATACTCTTAACCACTTATTCTCCACGGCTGAACATGGACTCCTTCTTCCTCCTTTTTTACTGCAAATAAAGATATCCAGTTATACAGCAAACAACTGTGAAAGACAAATGAGCAAGGTTTTTGCCTTCATATAATTTCCGTTGTACTTTACTGATACACGAGCAGATGAATCCTTATGAAATGAACTTTGTTTGTGACCTCAGGACCGTTGCCTATATGCAAACACAGTTTCTTGAACATCACACCAAACCTTATGGAAAGAAAACACAATGTAACGAAGAGGCCCAGAGTGAGGATTGAATTACGATTAACGTCCAACCCAATTCCTCAAGACTAGTTTAACGCTTCAAACGTGGTCACACCGCACTGAAAATTTTCCTAATGTTGTTTCAGTACTTTAACTTGAATACAATCGCTAATCTTAACTCTTTTACTTACTGCCATTAAGAAGAAAAAGGCAGTAAGTAAAAGAGTTAAGATTGTGATTATAACTAAGCCTCAGCTTAACTGGGTTCAATGCCGATATTGGCTTCCCAGATCGACCCCGTTGACGGGTGATTGCTGATGGCAAAAAAGATCGATAGAAGTAGCTGAGATACGCGCAAAGCTAAGGACCCGGATGGTGTAGTGGTGAAGTGCGCTGCTCCCCGGTAAGGACAACAGCGCGTGTTCGTTCTCCACTGCATACACCTGTGGTCCGGAGTTTTGCAAATATCTCAGCATTTCATACAATCGCTAATATTTCTAATTTCCACAGGTGAAAAGTGTTCTTTGAAACAAGTCAAATAAGTTGTGCAGCAACTTGAATTTGGGAACCACTCAAATCCTTTACTACGCAGACCATCTACTTAGTTCTAGTCCGCACTCCATGTAACAATAGCGAATAGTATTTTTACCGCTATTATTGAGGTATCCGAGTGAAGACCATGAATCTCCACACCAGTGTAGGCGGAACCACGCTCAGCTGTGAAAACCGAATTTACTCTCGGAACATTCCGTGGTGATATCTTCGGTTGTGACGAAGCTACAATGAAAAACAGATTATTTTGAAAAACCTAACAAGAAGAGAAATTGACTCAAACAACCAAACAAAGCAAATACTGAGATGAAAACTCTAATTTTCATGATAAATTCACTAGCCTTGATCCAGTTCTGCCATGAGACGTGACATATCCGCATTAGGACATTCCTGATTTGAAGCTTCTGTTGACCAACGTCGAATAACCCGAAATTATTGCAGTACAGAAATGTCAATGGAATTTAACAAAATTTCACAGCTAAAAAAGCACAGTTTCGAAAAATATTTAAGAAATGGGAAATTACTAGAAGAACTGTATGGAGCAAGTAAGTAACCAGGTTAATTGACCATAAAACGCTTTTGAACTGGAGGTTATACGACGAGTGCCAAAAATGGGCACAAAAGAGCTTACGCTACGTTCCACTCTCTTCGACATGTAAGCAGATCCAGAATAGGCGCTCTTTGTGACCATTGAGTTGGATTAGAAAAATTTCTCTTGCTTGTCAGACACACATCATGTATATACTCATGCCATGCCGCATGTGGGTGTAGTTGGGCTCATTTAGATATTACTCGACCGCAAACTTCTCTTCGCTATTTCTTACTAAAGCCGACGATTAACAAAGAAGTTTATTCCGCTAACCCTAAAAGAGCCGCCACATTACACCGTTTGTTAGAATGAGCACGGAAATGTTGCTGAAATACGAAATACGAGTCATTTCAGGCTGTCAAAACCAGTTAATATTACGTTGACGACCTCTATGTACAGTTTATGCACGATCTCTATGCACAATTTATGCACACATGTTGGCATAGAGGGGAACTGACAAGGATGGCTGAAAGGGCCATTCACGACGCTAGCTAGTTGAGCGATGAGAGAATATACTGCTCGCTAACCGCCGTTTCTGACACCAAAGTTGAGCGGGGTTGGTGTGTCTATTATCATGGACCCGTTCTTCAACATTATCACAAATAATAATTTTCTGGAGCCCATGATATCTATTTTCACATTATATCCTCAAGGTGTGGGTAGTGGTCGGAGGCACCCTGCAACACACACGTGGAATTGATCACCGCGTCCATGGCTCACCAGTCCTTCCATCCCTCCGGGGTCGTGATAATGGTAAATTGGTACCAGACTTGTCTAGGAGGATAGCAGCACTGGTTCGATACATCGGTAGGCCACCGCGAGTCATTGTAAAGCCAGATATGCGTTCAATCACCTCCAAACGATGCTTAATGAAGTCGAATGCACAGCGCATCCTTTAGGTATTGATCAACGCCAAGAGCTCTATCCTTTTATCCTTTTTATCGTCATGCTTCGTATTTCGGAGAGTCCAGCGAGTGCATGAACGAAAATTGGTTCAGCAGAATATGGTGGTATCTCCGAATGCGTCTCCAATGCATACGACTGAAGAGTCTCATATTCAGAACATTAAAATTTGTTTGTTTTCTTTAAAACTTCTTAACGTTCGCGACGATAGAGAATTTCGGCCAAAATCCTTCATGAAGACCTCAAACGAAAGAGATAACATTCTCCGCGTTCCAAGAACGAAAAGAACTCACGGATAATCCTGAAACTGGGCCACCAAGAAATATGGCGAATTTTTAAAGGAAATTTGACGAAATTTTGTGAGACACCTCTTCAGAAATATTTGCTTGAATCAATAAAGAGGACTACGAATTTCGGAACAAACGCACTGAAAGGATCGCATCCAAAGCATTTCCTCCATTCATTGAAGCGGCCGCAACCAATGTGAGCCCTTTCGAGAAAGGGAAAACATGTGTAGTAATCGGAAGCGTCGGAAGCTTCAATGTATCCGAAACCACAAAACACAACTGACTTGACGTTCCGATGATCAGATCTGAAGAAAGACACATTATTCGTGACGCTCGTAGAGAAACATTCAGATAAACAAAAGAAGCAACAATAAGTAGATATTTTGTAGCATAATGATCGGTGTACAACTTTCGAACCACTGCACTCTTACACGCATGGTCAGCTCCTTGATATTGCCCGCGGACGGACATAATCGACGCATGTAAATCCGCAATAGCCACACCAACGGGAATGTGTTCCAGAAGAGGTAGCCGGCAATTGCCCATTTTTACGAACTCTCGCACGTCCACCCGAACAATCTTCGGCAGCTTCATCCATTTTGGAGTGAAAGGTATCTGAATGAAATTGCATAAACTTTCAAAATGATCATGTACACTCACCAGGACCCTGCTATCTTGTGAATTAAGTGACTAATTCTTAACACTCTCACTACGCCTTACATTTAAGGTGCTTTGATGGCTTTGAAGGAGTGGCTGATGAGATACATAGCCTTTCCGTTGGCCTCTTTTACCACATAGAACTATTTTCCTAGTTTTTGTTGTCAATTCATAGCTGGTAGAATAGAAATGTTGTGTTGGGCGTTGGTAGGGAAAAGCTCTATTCTGCACTTAGAAATATACAAAAACGTTTTCCGAATGAGTTCACTAACCACAACTTTTGGTGCTAATCGCCTACTACTTCAATTCTTACTGCTATAGCAAATAGATGGTTATCGCGAAGAGAGTGCGGCTATAAAAAAATTTCAAAAACGACACAACATAGCAAAACCCTTCTAAGTGCTGAGAGTATTGTGTTTGTATGATGGATCATATTAACATATAGTAAATAGCATCATAAGTATTGTTCACAGACATAGACCGATAGAGCAAAGTCTCTTTTACAATCCATTCATGTTCGCAACCAATGAAGTCCTCCAGTTATAGAAAAAAATATTGTTTATTCTGCAAAAATCGGAAAGACCATAAAAGCTGAAAATTAACCGTCGTCCAGCCCACAACAAATCCGAGATTGGACGTCACCGCGAGAGTGTTATTTGATTATCCCTGGCATCGATGCAAATGGTACTAGCAGATGCATTGGTGAACAAGTGCAATATTATGCATACCTGTGTACGATATAGAAGTAGTTAAGAGCAACCGGTACTTTTTCATTCATTGTTCAAAGTATTTTAATGATTTTTTCCATCTGATGAACAATAACCATTCAGCTTCGAAGCTAACATGGACAGCCCCAAATGAGGAACCATAAGCAGTCATATGTTTACGCTGACAGATGACCCAGGAATTCCATCTCCTTGGCCATGTCATGATGAATTAAATACATGTTAACGTTTCTTCTCAATTCCAGTAAACTGAGCAACTGTAAGCCGCAGCTTTCTCTTATTTGTAATTTACCATGTATAAGACGCCGTCTAACCATAAACGTGTCATCGAGGAGCGAAAACCTGTCCGTTGCCGATGTAACATACCTGAACGATGGATCAGTGGTTTCTCATTTGTGGCGCTCCCACTTATAAAAAAGCGGCCTCTTCGGCTTGTATTCCTGATTAGATATGCCATCACCTTCACAACGGCTACACTAGAGCGAGTCTGACGCTATCCAGAGACACTATGAATACTGTCCAATCTTCTATTTTGCTTAGTTCTGATACTATTTAATACTAATTATTTAGGTTCATGCTAACAGATTCAACTTTCTATCTACATTTCTCTTCCAGAGTAACTAACACAGTCATTGCTCCGGGATCACCATATTGATATAAGACTTGCGTGGAAGGATAATAACACTGATTTAACTTATCGCATGTCATTGTCCATACTATAATATAAGATATTTGCATTCAATCACATCTACCACGCGAATAAAATCTATAGCGAATCCACAAGACATAGATCAACGCCGAACACGCTAGCTTTTACCCTGTTTATTGGCTACAGATTGGCAGATATCGTAGCGGAGTCTATAGAAATCCTATCAATACTCAGTTGGACACCAAGGTCAAGATCATGACAACACTTTCCCGTAAACAACGACCACTAGAGACATGAAAACTCACAATTTCTGAATTCCACTCCAATTCTCGTGAATATCCCCATGCCAATGCATTCGACTCGCTCATAGAAATTTCGTCGCTACCAGTCAAATAACAGGCAAAGTAGTCCATAATGTTTCCACAACGATCCCAATGGTGAGCTTGGTCAAAATCCGAGTAAGACGACAGCTCACATAGGGTTCTCATACCGTATCCAGGAAAGACGTTAGAACTCGTGGATCTGAAAGAAAAACATTTTTCAACAAAGCAACGAGAATCCATAAATGATGGTCACTTTCGCGAGCAAAATCGTCTGGAAAATAACCTTTGTCGCCCAATTATCGCTCGAATCTCCGGACAATTTTGTAAAACAACCTAAATATTTTATGTAAGGCGAATGAGAATGCTCTACTAAAACGAATTCCACTTCATTTCGGCATGAATAATCAATTATTTCTCTAGGTTGTTCTCTTTACACGATGCTGTTAAAAACGTTTGGCCAATGTTTCGACGTTTCGTGTCTTCTTCAGAGCGGATTTAATCGAGTCGATCCACAGTCGTTCGTCCTCGCGGTGCAGCTTTCTGTAGTCGTATCGCGTTGAATTTTCTTGAGTGAAGTGAGTGAGTCGGCCATCGGTATCAATCAACAACTGCCCTGAATGAAAGGACTTAACCGAGTGACGTTCACTCGAGCGGTGCTCCAGGCAAGAAGGTTCGACTCAGCAACACTATGAACACCCAGACCGTGAGGACAGACCACTATGAGCCGTCAACTCGAATAAATCCGCTCTGAAGAATACACGAGGACGTTGAAACATTACCCGAATAAAGGGTTCTTTTTTAATAACTTCGCGTAAGCTGAATAATCTGGAGCAAACATGAGAGCTCTGTTCTTTCTCCAAAATCATTTTTCTAACGTGTTTTGCACCACCCTCAAATCTCCGTGACATTCGAGCACAGCGATTAATTAACTGATATAACGAGTAATTTCTGCTCTAACGTTGCGTTTGTTAATTACTTAACGAACACTTCCATTTTAGATTCATTGTCTTTTCGTTTATTCCCCTCTTCCATATCATCGCAACCAAACTTGCCCTTCGAAACTTCTGATGGTCTCTCGATCACTACAGTAGCTGAAGAATTGAAGATTCCGCAGAGACTGACCAAAATTGATAAATAATCCTTAGAAAAAAAACTTTAATTTAAAATTGGCTTAGAACCGAACCTTTCAAAAATAGACGAAACCCTGCCTATTCAATTGCTTTTCTGTTCAAAACACTAGGCTTTGGTTTAAAAGACATGAGAAAACACGCTTGTAGGCTCCAGAAAATAATAAATTTGTGTGAATAGAATAAAACCACGCCCAAATCGTAGGAAAATATGCAGATTCCAATGGCTTCTATTCAAAATAGTCAAATTCAATGATGAGCTGACATATCTGAGTTTAAACATGAAGGCGACTACTAATATTCCACCATACGCATTGAAATAAATGTTTGTCGGTGGAAAAAAATATGGTAAAATCACTAAAAATTCTAACCAGACTTTTAATTGTAAGCTCTAAAAATGCTTAGCACAAGCCTCCCTTCTGTAAGCAATGTCGCCGGGTTATTTACGGGGTCACATGGCACGTGCACAACTGGCGGATTGGGGTTAAACGAAGATCAAAAGCGGTGGCGTATCTACTTTGGTGTTCATAGAGTGAAATTCCTTTCTCTGTTGCGAACTACTGACTTATATTGTATTTATGGAAATACGCAGTCATACACATACATGTATTAGTCAACGGGATCATGGCTGCGTAGATTGTGTCTGACACGTCAAAACCTTGAAGTTAAGTGCTTGGAAAGGGAGACGCAGATGCGAACCAACTGCAACGCACAGTTTTACACACACCATATTGTGCTGAAGCCCAGCAGGATACCCGTTAACCTCCACAGTTCCCTAAAGGAGTTTAGCGGATAACGCGATAACGCGAAGGCACCGTCACAGCACCAAACAGCAGGAAATTTCGTCCTCAGGCGAAAATGGCAACATTACTCGGGTACCTCGAGAGGAATCCGCCAATAAAATGTTGCGCAAGATAAAGAAAAAATAAATGTTTTACGAATGTCCGCTCCAGTCATACAATTAATGGGATTACAGATGATATCGAAGATTACTTAGGTAGTGTGGCAGCAGCCGCAGCGTCTCCAGGATACATCCAGTTGTATAACTCGGAGCAGTCCAGAATACCTGAAGAGCCTTATCGGTGAATATGGAAAAGGGTGAAAAAAGGTTTACTATGGACGGCTTTGTAAAACGACATCATAGACATATTTAAGCAATAGTTAGGGAACAACACTTAGAGAACATGCTTGTTCAGCTGAGAGCGAAATGAAAAATCGAATTTAAAAGACACTGTATCTAGTGAAGTTGTGTGTGCTAGTAATCTTTCGCAATGCCAGATGTAACTCTACAAAGGGTCTGAACACTGCGTACATTTGAGTAAACTAATATATCCAAATTTCAAGAGTATCAATATGGAGACGAAAAAAGGTGCTCTTAAAGTCACGAAGTGAACAATGTTCAACTTGTTCGCCTCTCTAGCACCCCATAGAAGCAATTGCCTGATAATTCACAACTACCAATGAGTTTTGACAACCGTGCGCTGTCTTTTCGCAGTTTGCCAATATTTTTCTACGTATTTTTCCTCACTACCTATCTGTCTCTTACCTCGTCTAAGTGAGTCCGAGTTCCACATCACTATCCCATGTTGTTGTCCTGAAATTCCGATTCGACTCACTGCTTCGGAAAGCTCACTATTCACATCCATTACAACTTTCTAAAAATAAACAAATAAAGTGTTTCCCCACATAAAAGGCTTGCTATTAAACTGAGATGAAGGACAAAGTCCTAACATTTTAATAAATGACGAATTTTACTTAATACGCCGTCAAATTCGCATCACCTTCTAACCAAATCTGAATTTGACCACGACTACACCAACATGTGGAGTCAATTCAAAAAGAGAAAAAGAAACGAATCAATGCGTATGTCTTTTCCAAACAAGTCTGTTAGCAATCACAAGACCACAGCAGGGTGGAAAACCTAGTTGCTGGATAGGCAACAGCTCAGCTAATGCTGACTGTAGTAGTGCACTACAATTCTTGATAATGACGACACTTGTTTTTTGACAACGGGCGATTCTTTTCCGATAACTTAAGCAACCGACTAGTTGGAAACTCCATAATTTACCAGGATGAACATAAATCTGCTTGAACTCTACATTTTTCTAAGCACTCAGCATTTTTAAAATTCCCGAAGTAACAACGGCAGCCGCAAGCACTAACAATAAATTTGAGCTCATCACCCTGCTCGACGAAATCCTGTCTGTGCAGCAGTATCATTGATCGAAATACAATCCTAATTGGAAGGAAAGCGTAAATGTACTTTTCTTGTACCGGAGAAAATCGGAATTTCATCTTATCGTAATAGGAGACGTTCTTGGCAAAGACATGGGAAAACTAAAGAATAAAGCTTATGGCGTTGGTCAATCCGTGAGCCATACATTCGACTTCATCATGCACCATAGAGGCAAATGAATGCATATTCCCTCTAAAGTGGCTTGTTGGAGCCTTCCGATATATAAGCGACTGTTCCTATTTTCCCAGAGCAAGCTTGTCGGGAACTTGCCGACCACGGATGGAGGGAAGGCTTCCTGAGCCCTGGGCGCGGAATCGAACCAAAGAGCAGATGTATATTGCAGAACAGCTCTAACTGCTGGCCCACACGCACCTCAAGACCTATAGATCCTAATAATTTTTATTCCAATTAGTACAATTCACTATGGGCCAAAATGTGTTCAATTGAACTTGAAGGTCGTAAATATTTTCCGGGTAGTCCACACTGAAATTAATGCTCACCATCACAAATACAAATACTGCACCGACTCCATCTGAAAGTTTACCGCTTCATTTTCTTCATGACTATCTTCTCACCAGAGCAGCAAAAATAAATACCTCCGCATCAAAGGAATATCACTTAAAAATAGACATTTTCGCAGTATTGTTCATGAACCTTCAAGAGTGATTCAGCCGTTTCGATGATCTTCCTCGCATCCTGCACTCCTAAACGTCCATCGATACTCGCCTGATGTGGCACCTGGCGTTCCGTCAAAATCCTAAATTAATCTTGAAGAATGTGACAAGAGCGAAGAGTCCGATGAAGACTCGCTCGATATAAAGATTGAAAAATGGGACGTAGAAACAAGTAGAGATGTGATGTCATTGTTGGTCTTCGATATGGATTAGTCAGCTACACAAGAAAAGATAACAGTAGATAGAGCCCAGGAAGATATAACGGCCTTCTAAAGGCCCGACCACAAGATAATGAACGAGTTTCTAAGTCATTCAAATCAGCGAAAAGCTGATCAAATGATTCGAGCTGGCACCAAGAAAATTCTAACACCATAACTGCTAGAACGGAAAATTTTAGGATTGTGATGTGAGAGCTATTATGGTGTTAGAATTTTCTTGGCTTTCAATTTCTTGAACTCTTTATAATTTGATCATTACGACAGCATGCACCCACCTTTCTTCTTTTACGGCACAAACCTTGACTGTCGTAGTACCAAGATCGATGCCCACCGTACAGCTCATGTTCAGAACAAAATCACCACCTCCTTTACTAGCTGCAGCGACCCTGAAACCAATAAATTTCACAAAATTCTGGTAATTTTGCGATAAATACACTTGAAGCTTTGGCAAACATGCACGGTCTATAGACGACACTTTGATCTATCTATTTAAGAGCATGCACGGCTTTTTAACTCTTTCACGATCGCGTGTAATACTAGACGTGGTGCTCAACTGAAGAGCATTGATATGAAGATGTACGGTCCGTGAGACCGCGCAAGGGGCATGGCACACTGGTTTCTTGACAGTGTCGTCCTATTGTTTGCTTCCGTTACATTTTTTTCATGTCTCTCCAACTTCTACATATCCGCTATACTCTTCTGTGCATGTTCCCATGTTCTGGATAGCTCTCGTATATGAAGAGAAGAAAACTGTCCATTATTTAACCACGATGTTAGCTCTTCGCATAGTGTTGTATGACAGTTAAGTTGTATTTGTGTCTCTTTAATGTTTTTTATATCCACTGATACAGTTCTACCACTCGAAATTGCTTTTTCTTGCTTTTCCTAAGTACAGCTGAGAATACCTACGCAGGGATCAGGCCCAGTATAAAACCTGGGTCCGACAAGCCATCGATTGACTACGAAGTGTCGTGAAGGTGTTATATTATCACGAAGTAATGTATCCACTTGAAAATACTGAAAGAGAAGTAGTTTTGGTCAACCATGTGGACTAAATAGTTGTTAGAATACAAGATCTTTAACCCTTTCATTAGCTCTCCTACTTTCATATGGCTCACCCATCGCACGCGGTGTAATTGGAGCGCACTTGACGTATGCATTAAA